AAAATTAATTATGTGTACAGAGTATGGAGAGCCCTTGAAAGTTTGTTTTGAAGAAACATAGTGCAACCTCTTTGAAACCCAGTTATATGGCTTCCAGAATGTGAGGGAGGACGTGGCAGAGGACAGGTTGCCTCTCTTGTCTCTCTGTTGCTCTCCACTGTAGTTTATTAGATTCTAGAAGTCATGTCTTTGTAGCTCCAACAGACCCTAGATGGAGGAGCTACAGGAACCATGATCAAAGGAGAGCTTGTAGCCCCCCTTGCCCTACCCCATCACACAGACTTTCAAATGGTTTCTAGTTTGTAACAGTTGTCTGTGAGTACAATAATTTTGCAAAGAAGTGTCATAGAAACTCTGTAAATTATCAAAGAAAACTTTTTCTTGATGAATCAAAATGTCTTAAGCATTGACATCTCTCAGCCCTCAACTGAGGCTTAGTACATAGCAGACACTGCGTATATGAGAGAATGTGGTATTTAGGGATGGAGGTATCTTAAAGATGCTTTAAAATATGTTATTATTCTTCAAAGATTAGTAATCTTAGACACTTTCAAGAAGAGAAAACATCAAAAATGCCTGTTTGTTTTAGGTAAAAAGTTTTCAATTTTGTAACTATTTTATGAATTTTTTAATCATTTTACATTTTAGAACATTTGCCAAAATAGTATTAGCACCTGTTCAGGTCTATCACAGGCTATAACATTATTTCTTTGGGGTATTCTAAAGAATGGAAACATTTAAAGACTCCAATGCCTAGAAATGAAAAGCAATACAGTGTTAATTTATGCTGTCTTTGTCATCTGCTCAGAAATGAGCAGGGAGTGAAGAGCCATTGTGCTTTCTGAAATGTGCCAGCACTGGCAACTTTGTTGATCTTGGAATCTGACTGTTTTGGAATCTGTGACCTTCAGAGTTCCAGTCATAATGCCTTGTTTCTCTTTTTTTCAAGGAATCCCAGGCTATCGATTTTGCATTGATTGATAGTTTCTACTTTCAGACCAGGAAGATTAAACAGGGTATTCTACCAGGACCTTCTAAGACCTGAAAAGCGATACCATGGCTTATGAACTGACTCTCAGTTCCAAGTTAGGGGAGACTGCCTCACTTCAGTTCACATTTATCATCTGGGTAGCCTTAGGCAGATTAATCTCTCTATGTGTCTCAGCTTCCTCATGTGTACATAGAATAACGACTATCTCCAATTGCTGCTTGATGGTAAGTCAATATATATGATTAGTAAACACAACTACCTACTCTTAAGAAAAACTATAGAAAGAGTTTCTTCCTGATCACAATGGTAGATATGAGTTATTAATAAAAAAAGCAAGTGAAGTAACCACTGAGAAATCAATGCCAAGGATCAGAATTGGGTGCTACATCCTGGTTCTCCTGCTTATGGGTGCACTGGGATCCTGACTGACAAATGGGTATCACAATACTTGTCCTAATATAAGCTTCACAGTGGATGAAAGGAACCAAATGAAGTCATGCCATCTTTCACTATAGCCTCCCCTAATTTTTAGCTCTTTTTTGGCCACCTCCTCTGCCGCTGGCTCATATTTTAACTATCATATTTGTCACATTGAGTCTTGTGTTGCAATTAATTATCTGTGCACTTCTTTCTCCAACTAGATAAGGTCTCATTGGTGGAGACACTGTCTTACTCACTTTTAAAAAATCATGTAGTGCTGTGACTTAAACATAATAGACATGTAACAAGTGTTTATTAAGAGGCTTTTAAAAGTATAGTTTGCCAAACAAATGAATAATTATTATTACTATCACTATTATTATAGCTACTACTATGTCTCTTTATAAGGTATAATTACATGGATTCTCACATGAATCTGAGTAGCAGTTTTGAGTGGGGTTAGGATTACAACCTAAACTGGGATTATCATCAATTCTGGGTTATGTGTGTTTCCCTCCATATTATCTTCTTACATTGAAACACATGAAACACAATATATTAGATTTAGCAAGGTTTTTTTTTTTTTTTTTCTAGTTCTATTTGGGTCATATGTGAAATAATCGATTATCAGGGGTCTGCAAAAAGCCTTCTAATCTTCCCATGTTGCTATTACATGATAAATGAGGCTTTATGCAAATAACTAAGTTCTGATCTAAATTTCAGATAAATTTGGGGACTTTTTTTTAAGTCTTTTTTTTTGAGACAGGGTCTCCCTGTAGCACCAGCTATTGTGGAACTCACTATGTAGACCAGGCTGGCCTTGAACTCACAGAGATCCGCTTGCCTCTGCCTCCTAAGTGTTGGGATTAAAGGTGTGCGCCACCATGCCTGGCGGGATTTACTTATTAATCTATTTCTTTAAAAGAGTATTTGAACATTCTTTGCTGTGTGCTGGACACAACATGAGGCATCATGGGACCACAGAAGTAGCTGGAAGGACAGCATTTAACTCTGTACTCTGTGGATAACAGGCATTTCCAATAAGTGGCAGGATTCACTCAAGCTCTATCATCTGAATCAACTTGAAGACACAGTTGGAGATCCTTGATCTTAGTTTTACAAATTGTGATTTTTTTACATCTTGGGGTAACTGATCTGTGATCTTGGATTCATGGAGCATAAAAAGGAGAGTCATTGGACCACTAGAAAGTGCTGAGAACTGCTATTATTTTCATGACTAAACTTGGGCAAGTAACCTGACCGTGCTCATCTGTAAAAGCTAGGATAGCAACAGGGTGTTCCTGGATTTCCTTAGAAAACTATATTCATGTGTTCAAGAAGAAATTATGCTGTCTGTGCAATTCTGTTGCTGGATCAGTGATCAAATTGAAAATTGATAGCCGTAGATACTATTAGAGATATACATAAAAGTATAAATTAATTTTGTTAAAAGTCACTTCAGTGACCTTGATGTAATTATAAAGCATAATGAACAAGGCCTACTGGAAAATATGAGTTTCTTTACCCAGTTTTGAATGTGTGATATATGGCTGATTCCCATGAAGTTTTTAGTGAGAGATGCATTTTCATGTCCATATCTGCTTTATAAACCTCTGAAATCACCTTATTTTTAAAATTTAAAATAAAAAATTAAATTGAGCCAGCAGTGTGTGCAATTTCTTACAAGGCATGCAGCCTAAACTTTGCATCAAAGAAAAAAATCAAGATTGCTTAATTAAAACTTTGACACTACCAACCTCTTCAGTTACATGTTAAGGAGATTGGCACCCTGGGAATGCCAGCTTAAAATCAGTGTGCATTTTAGTGCCAGTGGCATGCGAACACACACAGTTCTCTGAAGGCAAGAAGAGAGTTAGTTTCAATAGAAGAGATTGATCTAAAATTTCTCTTGAGCATGAATCATTTCACCCTTTCAAAACAGAGGACACGTCTGCAGAACAGAGATGTAAAATGTCAAACAGCATCATCCCCTTGTCTCTACTCACATATTCAGTGTGCTTTCTTGCAAATAATGGAGATTTTTACACTAATTGTTACTTAGAAAACAGTTCTACAGTCTGACTCTAGTTTCTGGGATGTGTTCTATAGACTAGCTCGGGTAGCTGGGGGAGGGGAGGGCTGTTTGTTTCTTTCCTTCTTTAGAGTATATAAATTGTGTAGTAACAATGACTGCTTTTCTTTTTAATGTGTGCTGTCTTCACTATTACGCGTTGAGTCCCAGTTTCTTTCACTGCTGTGGAACCCAGCAGCTCTTTGTTCTCATTGTGTCCCCTCTCCCTCTCTTTGTGTTGCAAGGATACTGCTCCCCAATCTGCCACTGAGCATGCGGGAAAAATCCTGCAATAGATTCTTCACTTAGGACTTTCGGTAGTATCGCTCCAGTTCTCCAGGTTTTAGTAATAACCAACATTTGGAAAAGATAGAGTGAAACTTGGAAAGGTGAAGGGAGATACAGGTGGTTTGGAGATAGAGTGGCAAGCTGGGACTCCAGGAAGGGTAACTTCAGAGTAGTTATGCCTCTCATTCATGGACGCTCTCCCAGTCAATTAAATTCAGAACATACACCTTGCTTGCACACAGAAGTTAGAGATGGAGATTGACAACTGAGAAGACACAAGTGTTTCTGAGCAGGAAGGCACAGAGGCAAATTAAAAATCATTAGATAAAAGTGCCAACTGTTCTTCAGACTCAAGCAGAACCTTTTTACTAGCACTGAATGCACAGTCCCAGAGCAAGGCCCTTCAGCAGATAGGAAGGATGTCGTCTGAGCACGAAAACCAGTGGTGTGGACTTTTCTCATAATAAAACTTCAGGCTTTCCTCTGTGTTAAACACAAGTCAACAGCAATGGAACAAAACGATTCACTTCGACTGTTTAAAAGCTTTTTGTTGAAAAACTAAATAAAAGCATGGTTTCTAAGGGGTTAATAAAGGTTTTCAGGTGAAATTAGACGTTTCTGTTTTTTGCTCAGGCATGTCTGACTTTAATAGTGTAAATTATGTGGATCGAGCGCTCTACAGTTTTGCTTCTATTTCTGCCTGTAATGACTTTTGTCTGTTGTTCACTTGCTTGTAATGCCAGTTCTTAGACACTGTGTAGCACACAGGAGCTTGAAATTCAAGATTTTTTGTCTAACGAATACATGAAAAGCAAACCTCGCTTAAGGGTGACAAATTGATGCACAGTTCAAATTTGGTTACTTTACATAAGCCGAAGTGAACACCTGGCTCTTTAGCAGCTGGCCATTCTCCCTTAGTGACAGGAATTTCATGCTTTTCCTCCTCAATCTCCCTTTTCCCACCACTTTCTTTCTGTTACCCTATAGGGCCTTAGCAGCAGCATCTTAAAGCTTTTCTGCTCTGTGTCTGTCTTTCAGGTCTCAGCATCACCCGCCCCAGCTCTTTGGTTTTCTATTGGTTTCATTAGCAGGTGGCAATACTGTGAAATCTAATGGTGCTTTGGGTAAAGGATAGGCCACTGGCCCAGTCTCTACCACAGGCACCTGCTGTGGCTTTTTTAGAACCCCGCCTCTGGCTGTTATTGCCCCAGTAGACTCTCCCGCCCGCAGTGGGAGGAAGTGTCGGTTGCGGAAAAGTCCAGGCCAGGTCCAATCAGGTACCTGGGTTAGATGGCGTGGGTGGATGCTGCGGTGTGGTTACCGCTGCCCAGGTCGGATGCCCGCCTCAGGCCCCGCCCCCTGGCCGAGCTCCCGCCCCAAACTGTGCCTTCATCGTCGGCTCCGCCCCTCGAGCCCCGCCCCGCCCGGGGGCCGCGGCTAAAACCCGGAGCCGTCGAGCGCCTAGGGGACCGGAGGCGCGCACTGAGCATGTGCGAGGCTGCTCCACTGTCGCTGCCTCGGCCGGAGGCTGGGCCCGGGTGCTGATGCTGACGCTAGGCTCAGGCTGGGTCCCTGCGTGGTGGGCTCCGCGACCCGGGCGGGCGGCCGAGCGGCCGTAGCCTCCTTGCAGCGTCAGGAGCCCGTGGCGGCGCCCTCGGGGCTCCCGCGATGATGGCGGAGCAGGTGAAGTGCGCCTCGCCGGTGGCCGGCTCCGGCGCGGGCTCGGGGCCGGTGGTGAACGCCGAGCTGGAGGTGAAGAAGCTGCAGGAGCTGGTGCGCAAGCTGGAGAAGCAGAACGAGCAGCTGCGCAGCCGGGCGGCCACCGCGGCCGCCGCCCCGCACCTGCTGCTGCTGCCGCCGCCGCCGCCCT